TCTCTCTCTCTCTCTCTCTCTCTCCTCTCTCTCACACACACACACACACACACACAACACACACACACACACACTAAATAAGCTCTATTGTGAGGCCATTACAATGTGAATGAGGGGCCCACCAGCTCCATTGAGACTTGTGTGAGTGAGTGTGTGTCAGTGCAAATAGGTTAGAGAGATTGATGAACTAGTAGGAAGGGAGAAGGGAACACATAATCAAGTTAAAAACACTGTATGATTGACATGCTGTGCCTGGCTGATTGACATTCTACAGAAGTAGGTCTAATGGGGCTGATTCACATGTGCATGAATTGTGAATATCAGAAATGTCTCTTATTCATTCCCCTGATTGATATCAAAATGCAGTTTTACACCAGCTATAGTGTTCCTTCTTTCATCTGCCTCCATTTATCCTTGAGTACCACAACTTGTGCAAAGAGCGAGAGAGAATCAGCAAGGCGCGCCATTAACTTGCACTGGTGCGTATCCGTGTGTGACATCTTTCATCCGACTAACTCCAACTAACGGCCCGTGAGCTTTTACCGGGCCCGTGATCGCTGATGCCCGAGAAAAGGGCTGTTTGTGTCAATCAAACCGAGCCCCCTCCCCTTCTCTCCTTTCTACCTCTCCCTCGATCGCTCGATCGCCTCCTCCACTTGTGTAGGCGCTCTTAAACCAGAGCATTTACGCACGGCAGTCAGTCGTTAACGGGCAGCCCGATATCGGTGCTCCTCCGTACTACTCGCTGCCTAATCTCCACCTTGAAGAGCAGAGATTAAGTGGACAAGTGGGCAGAGCGGGAGAGAGAGTAGAAGACAGCGGGGGAGACAAGAGTAAAGAGAAAGAGAAGAATGATGAAAGGGGGGAGGAGAGCGGATCATTCCGGCCGCCCGCATCTGCTGCTCTAGTGGAGGGTAGAGAGAGAGAGAGAGGGGAGATGGCACAACGCCTCAGCATCCAAAACACACGGGAGTGGTGCGCCACCGAGACCGGAGCCCCGGACCCACCCGAAGCAGCAGCATCACACTCACCGCTCTCCCGTCACGCCTCTTCCCCGCACAGCAGCGCCTCAGCCTCGGTAAGAGGTAAGTGGGCGAGTCGGTGATCGTTCTTAACGTAAACTTCAGCGGCAGAATGAAGCGGGGATGGAAAACTCTCTGGAATATACCCTGTTAGTTTGAGTTCCTTTCAGCCTGTTAATGCTGCGGCTTGCTTTCTTTTTCATTAGAGCATTAACAGAACTGCAGACTAGATTAATTTGCACTTTTCCTATTTTTTGTGGGTGTGAGTGTTTGTCGTATAGCCTACTAAATATCACGACCATTTACTGTTAACCTAATTGAATTAATGCTGCGTGGTCATGTTGGCTTTCAAAAATGATGGTTATAAATAAAAACATATTATGATAACAGACTTAAACACAAAAAATATTGGTTTGCAACTTTTTTCTTGTAGCATTTCCCCAAATTCTCATAAAGGGCAGCATATTTAGATTTGTTTTATATCTCATGATTTAGAACACCACTGGGACTTATAGTTATGAAAATGACAGAGGAAAACTTCCCTGTGAGGTCTTTTGGGTTAAACCCATTCCAGCGCCCTCCTGTGGCTCCTTAGTGAGACACGTGCATAACTCTAGTAACAGGTTAAAGCAGCTCTCTGATTTGATATTTTTCCAAATTTTAAACCTTAAAAACACCAGTTTGACTCAACCATCTCTAAGACTGAGCGAGTGCATGCTCCTCTTCTTTGTCTCTCTACATTTCTGGTTGCATTTAAAACTTGCAGAAGTTATTCAACAATATATATATGTATGTGGTCATTCAAATACTTATTAAGATGACACACATTTTATTTATGCTTCTTTCTCCTCTGTGTTGGCTATAAGGACATCTATGTTCCTTCTCTTTTCCATTTTCTGGTATTATATTGAAGGAATATACAATCCCTCCTCTATGACCTTCTCTTTGCGTGTGTTCTCTAAAGGCAAGGAACAAGGAGAGAAAGATGGGGAACGTGAGGAAAGACTATTGATATTCAAACAGACAGAAAGAGAGAAAGAGGGGGTGTAGAAAGATAGAGAGAGGGGGAGAGTTAGGCATAGAGAGAAAAGAGAGAGAAAGAGATGCTGTGGGATCTTTTCTTCTCCCTGGCTCCCGGCACATACATTAAGATGCTAATCCTGGTCTTTTTTGTCTCTTTCTATAATTCATTGCATTTTGTTCCTCTCTCTGCTCTTTTTTCTCAGTCTCTCTTATTCTTGCACTTTTCTCTTGCTCTCCATTTCCTCTGTACTGTCATGGGCTCCCCCCAGATTAGTGCTCCTGGCAAAAGGATTCCAACTCTAATTTTGTGGTATTTCAGATGATTAGGTTCAGAAATAGGACAGAAGTGCACAGAGTTTGGCGCAATTAGAGGAATTCTCTGCAGAGCTTTATGGGACTGATTAGTTGAGCTCCCATCCACCTCCCCTCATTGCCATATTAACACACAACCAGCTGTTGTTTATTTGTGAGGATTGACTTTTGCGTTGTGTTTGTGCTTTTAACTGTGGTGTCACTTTGTGTGTGTGTGTGCCAGAGGTTGGATAAGCCCTAAGGATGCAAGTTGTTTTCAATCAGCTCTGTAGTTACCAGCTGTGCCCTAATATTCCCCAGGGTGGCACAACCTAGGTACACACACACACACACA